GCGAAAACGGGGAGTGAAGAAGTTTTTAATGAAGAGTTCGCTGGATGAGATTGACACGGTCGAGCCRCTGAGGAGGGCTCTTCGACAGCCCATGCAATGCTCTATTCTGGAGTACCTGGCGGCATCAAAGCCGGCTCGCGATGAGTTACAGATGATCACGCGCAAGGCTCGCATACCTCTATCAGAGGAGGGGCAAGGGGCCCCTAAGGCGGAAGCTTCTACAGTAGCAGTGACGGGGATGACTGCCAGAGCAGATCGCATGGCAATAGTCCTTCTCGATGGAATGGAAGGTGTGCCTCCAGACAAATTTTATATACTGGGTAGTGGGGCAGAGGAGACAATTATCAACGATGGAGCCATACTTGATGCTGTGATCGATAACGGCAGTGAGGCTATTATCATAGACGACGACCTGGCAGTGCAGGTTGGGCTGGGCCTCGATAGGTCATATTTATTTGAGATAGAGACAGCTGATGGTGGAAAGCAACAAATTACTGGGGTTTGTCACAAGGCAGCCATAGAAGTCCAAGGGGTACGAGTGACGCTGCCCGTTTTTGCAGTCAAAAACTGCAGCTCTTACCTGCTCTTGGGACGGACATGGCTGAGCCACGTGCATGCGGTGACAATAGAGCGACCTGACGGGAGCCAGACTTTGTCCATTAAGAAGCCTGACGGGACACGCGTAATGATTGAGACAGTGGAACCTCGGGACCCGAGGAACAGAGCAGCTCTTGCTGTGGGAGCGAGACCCAGTGATCAGGTTAGGACATTACCTATCCTCAGCCGTGCGGTGCGATTTCGCGTGAAGGAGTATGGACCACTGCTTACAGAGGAAGAAGGCTGAGTTGTCGAGATAGAAGATTTAGGGATTCGGTTAATAGTAGACGGCAGCTCGTACCCAAAGGGAGAAGATGAGGAATTAGGCGGCGTGGTATCCGTGTCTTTTTTAAGGGCACGGCCCCCATACGGGGGGCCGCCGAAGCGACACAAGCGAGTAGGTCAGAAAGTTAAACCAGCGGCGGTGGGCCGCGAGCGGTCCCCGCTGGAAGGGGTATCAGAAGAAGAAATCGCAAGAGAGATCAAAGAAAGAAAGAGGAAGGAGCCTCAACGCCTGACGGAAGATAGGATAGCAGAGATGGACATCGGAGATGAGAATCTGACTTCGCAAGAACGAGAACGAGTGATAGAGATCCTGAAGACATGTGATAAAGCAATAGCCTTCAGCGAYGCGGAGCGTGGTAGGGTTRACCCYYGATACGCGAAGCCAGCAAGGATTTACACCGTACCACATGTTCCCTGGAATGACGCGGGATGGAAGTATGCCCAGAAAGAGAAAGAGGAAGTTATCGCTTTCCTGAAAGAGAAGATGGTTTCCCATGTCGCAGAGCCGTCTGATAGCGCGTATG